ATTCTATCACCACAATATTGTGTCTCCTCGTATTCCAATCCAGAGATGCATCACTCTTGGTCATCCCATATTGATAAAAAGAAAGAGTTGAGAAGTTAACGTGACGGAACTTAAAAAATACCACACTGTATCTTGAAGAGGAAAAACACCTCTCTGAGAAGAGAGTTTAGAATACGGATCAATGTATCTTCCTTCTCTTATAAAGGAAAGAATTTATCTTACAATAGCTTATATACCGATACATGCGTGCATGCACTAGTATATCAGGGGTAATATAGTTAAACGGCAGTTTTTAAATTACTTTTTTTCTAACACCACCCCCCCCCCCCCCCCTCCAGCCAAAAAAAAAAAAAAAAAAAACACACTACAAAATACAACACCTGTTTCATATTTTAGCTTTTTATTCTGCTAGGGGAGGGGCTAGTCTGCTCTATCTAGGATAATGTTGGATCACAGTATCCAAGGGAAACAGCCTAAAGAAAAGGGAAAACCAATAGAACAGAATGAAGTGAAACAAGCTCAATTGATTTCTTTCATTTTTCTTCTTCTGCAAAACCCAGATCCAAACATATCACAAGGACAATTCTAATGCCTATCCTCCTCCCCGCTTAGATTCTAGCTCTGTGTGCTGCTTGACTGTATACGACGCCCGAAACATGAAACCAATTGCGGATATACTACTACAGTCTATTATTAAAACTTTTCAAATACTATATCCGCGTGTAACAACTTGTTAAATTCTTGGGAACTCTCTCCCTCAACCAGTGCTAGTGATCTAGCAGTTCTATGAAGTATAGTCTGTCATTGTCTGTTGTTCCATGCTGAGTGTTTTGGCAGTCTCTAAGAAAGAGTGATGCTAGCTGTCTCTCTGTGGATGAAATGACATTCAGTGTCCTAAACAAAGTATTATCATACGGCCTGACTTAAGTCATACTAGGGAAGAAATCAGTCTTTTAAGTCCAAAACTAAGAGTTCATAGTCTCAATAGTAAAGAACTTGTATGACAATTAGCGAGTTCTCCCTCTAATTCGTCTTTCTCTACTCAAGTCTAAACCATCGTGGTGTAGGCAAAGGTCCATTTATACTTCATTCTCTGTGTTATAACAGCTCTGAAATAAATGCAATAAACCAACCAAGACCGATACAATCATCGTTAAACCTTTTAACTTTTCAGTTTTTCCTGTATAATTTACAAAAGTTTTAAAAACTCAAATAAAAACTTTGGTAAAAATTTTGATTTCATAAATTAAGTGGTCTATAGTTTATAAATTTGGTCAAAAAATGAAAACACAAAACAATGTGTTTTTCTTTTGAGTTTTTTTTTTTTTTGACCACCCAACACTAGCCACATCCGCCACATTTTTTCCACCACCTCTTCCACTCACCACCACTCACACCCCACCTGCCACTGTACCACCCACTTCAGCCACCACCCCATCGCCGGGCCGCCGCCCGCCGCCCACCCACCACACCACCATCTCCACCAACCTACCCATCTCACCCGCATTACCAATCCACCGCCTATATGTCGCCACACATCGCTCACCACTTACCTTGCCACCACACTACCACTTGCCACCCACCTGTCACGCCTCCACCCCCTGTTGACCACCACCACCCCATGCCACGGTCAACCCACCCAGCCCATCACCACACTACCACCACCCGTCCATCCCTACCTGCCTACACCCAGAGACCCCAGACCCTGTTTCTTCCGCATCCCTATCCGCCGACTACCACTCTGACCCCACCAATCCACTCGCTAACCACCTACCACTCGCACCATCATCCCACCCAGCCCCGCGGGGATCACCAACTATGCCACCGTGATTGCCGACCACACCCGCCATCCGCTAAACCCACCTGCCCACAACCAAATCCTACCACGCATCTCCTGATTCTCGCTGATCAACCCATCACCCGTTCGCCACCGTCATCCACGCCCTTGTGTGGCCCGCAAGCCACCACCACCACCCGACTCTCTATTTCTTCTTGGCACACATACACCACCACCACCCACTCGCCACCACCTACCACCACCAGCTACCCACCACCTACCGTCACCACTTTCCACCACCGTCTTCTGCTGTCACTTTCCGCCAATTGCCACCACTTGCCATTTCTCGCTCTTTTTTATATTTTAATTTTTTTTAAAAATATTTTGTCAATTACCAAACGCGTTTGAAGTTTATGTTTTTCTAAAAATAAATAAAAATCAGTTTATAAAATTTTTGTAAATATAAACTGAAAATGTAAACTTTACCAAACACACCCTAAGTAAATAAAATTGTAGATCAGAGAATGATGCCCTATTACATAACATTTGGTTGTACAAAAGGGTGACACATGTAATATACATTCATAAATAGTATATCTTGAATCTACAGCATGTGTTACCAAGCAGTAATAATGTAACAAAAGCTAATAGATAATTATATGCCTTAGGGGCTTACATATTTCTAAGTCAAGATTTAGGTACATCAAAAGTGAGTCTGTAGCTCAATATAAGTAAAGTCTTAGGTTTGTACAAAAATGAACACAAAATAAATAAACAGAGCTTTTAGCATATCACAAGTACCTGAAAATGATTTTTTCCAAATAGGGTGAGTCAAAGTCCAATAAAAATAATATAACACAATATATAAATCTTAACAAAGATATGAGGATAATATGCATATACAAAGTCATTGATAAATCGTTTCGTAATTCTTTTGCAAACCATGCGGTACCAAGTATATATATATATATATATATATCAATTCATGAAATTAGTTTCATTTCATTCAGACAACCAAGTTGAGAATACAACTTAATAGGTTTCCAACCAGTACAACCATCATACCATCACTTCTATTTACCATTTTACGGATATTTTGTCCACGGGAATTGGCACGCATGTATACTCATGATTTCGACATTTTCACCCTAGACACTCCAGCCAACTTTATTCGATGGAGTATATCTCTTTTCTTCTTCCAAATATGGAGTACATCCCATTTCTTCTTCCAAACATCATACATTTACAATGTATTAAAGATGTGACAACACTCCATGCAAATGGATGAGAAAATTAGTTTCAATTCACTTAATTCTCATGCAATTTCTACAACAATCATAGTTATCTTCTATCGATAGCTCAAAATAAATATTTCTAAACAGATATACAATCTCCAAGACAAATAAATTATCCAAAGTCTATAGGTGAGTGATAATACATATCTAGCTCCACCATTTATATAAACATCCATCCAATTTCACATTTTCATCATCAATTTCATTTATTTATACAAAATGAATATTTGCGACATTTAGGGCAAAATTCATTTTCTTCCAAAATTCAATCCAAAGATCAAAATCAACAATTTGTTTGCAACTAAATTTCAATTCCACTCCCACAACCATTTTTCATACAATCATTTGAAAACTCCTCTTTTGATTTTAATCCAAAACCCTAGATTTATTCCAAAATTCTCCAAAACCACAACATTGTTTATGAAAAACAAATAACTAAGTTAAAAATCATAAAAGAGTGTAGAAAATTCCTACCTCAAAATTAGAAGACAACCAAGACAAGGAAAGAACTCGGATGAAGCCAAAACCCAACTCTATTCGAATGAAAACATAACTCTTGAGATGCTCTACCTTTTTAACAAAAATTTATGGATAGAGAAACTACTAAATCTAGGTGAAAATGTAGAGAGAGGGGGAGTTTTAGAGAGAGAAGCTCTAGGTCTAGGGTTTTGAAATGTTTGAGAGAAAGAGAGAGAATGATGGAAAAGTGAGAACAAATGGCCTGATCATAAACTGATATACGCACAGTCCGCTAGAGTGCAAGAAGCGACGTTTGAGCGTCCAGACACAACAAGTTGTTCTGCTCAAGCACAAGAAGTGATGTTCGAGCGCAGAATACACATTTTCAGTAGTTTTGTAGATAGCAGACCAACGCTCGAGCACAAAAATGGTCGCTCAAGCACACGACTGCTCAAGCGTAGGAAACACTCTTCCAGTAGTTTTGCAAGCCTGCAAAAGTATAGAGAGTTCACAAAGCCCGCTCAAGCGCAAGAAGTAACGCTTGAGCGTAGGAGCAAAATTCTGGGCAATAAAAATTTGAAAACCAAGCTACCAACCTATTCTAAATGCAAACAATACAACCCAATAGCCAAACTCAAGAAAATATAAGGGACGTAAGAAATGAATAACAATATGAAACCATGAAACCCGAATCCAAAATACAAATTTGGTTGGGTCGGATCGGATCTAAACCAAAATCACTATACTTTGCAATTGAGCCAATGAGTCCTAAGCTCGAAAGGAGAAGGCTCCGTATGTATGCTTTGTTTTTGGCTTGGTATGGTTCACAATCACATTTAAGGAAAATTGATAATTAAAGGCATGATAAGATATAGAAAAAAATGTTTGAAGAAAGAAGGAGAAGCCAAGTCCTAAAAAATCACTACATTATGTTTCGCAAATGTGGGCCTAGTGAAATTTTTTTAAATTGTATTTAGAAGCATCCAAGTGTGACGCTTATATTTTGGTGCGATATTATCATTCCCATAAAATAATGTCCCAAACATTATTATGGTTTCAATTCACCAAATAGTTCACTATGATTGTAATATGTCCAAATATAACATAACTAAGTAGGTGTGGAGATTACACTCAAGATTTTAAGTCTAATACGGCCAAGCAATCACGAGTTTTTTGCCATGCAAAACAATATTTCATTGATGCTTGTTGGGGCCATGTGGGGTGCAAACAAGATCCACAAAACTGCATGTCAAAAAGTAAGGATTTTGCTTCCCTCCAATGCTGTTGGCCTATAGGGGTGCAACTTAGGCTCATGATAATTTAAATTATTCATCTTTGTAAGGCATATTAAAAAGATATTTACAAAAATAATTAGATTGATCGCATACAGACCCCATTGTGACAGAAGCTTATGCACTATGACTGCCCTCAGAAGGCCTCCAAACAAATTTTTTGAAGAAACAACCATGAACTTCGAACTGTCAGACCAAACTTAACTAATCTACTTCTTTATGCGTATAGATTATACATGGAATATCAGTGAACTTCAAGTTACAACACATCTCTAAGCACCAACACAGTTATACATGTCAAGTTCAATACATAATCTTCTAATTGTCACGAAATCTTCTAATTGTCACGAAGATAAAACTTCCAAGAACAGAATGGTAAACAAAGATACAAAAGTGCACACTACAATTTACAATCAGCCTACTAAAGGAACTTTATTTGTTATGGAATCTGAGGTGAAACATCTAGCGATGGGTGCTCTTGAGAGGGCTGTTGCAGCTCTGGTTGATTTTCTTGCTGCTGCTGGGATCGCAGCTGATCGCCATGCCAAGTCCATACAATGTCTTCAAGTGCCGGCCTTATATCCTGCTTCATCATCTTCTGATACTCCAATGTATCTCCACCGGTCTTTTTCACCTCCACCAAATGAAATGTTGGAGTGACCTCAAAGATCTCTGTGTCAATAGATAACACGCCTTTCCTTCCTTCCTCTGATCCAGCCAATTTCAACAGCCCTCCATCTTTCTTTGTTACTTTAAGCTTCAAACGCTTGGCTATGTCCTCCAACTTCGAAATAATGGTCTTGCCACTCTCTCACCGAACTGCGACTCGCTCTTCTTTCTTTCGCTCGTTTTCCTCAAACAAACCAGACAAGTCAAAGCCTGCTGAGAACGAGATGATATCAAAAGCATTCAAGTTACTAGGCCTTGCCAATTCTTGCTTTGCCTCTGCTGCAGTGCTGCTATCACCAACCACTGCTTCGACATCATGACTAGCTGGTTCTTTCCCCTTCATTTCAATTCTCACAGGTTTTAAGCCTTTTCGAAACCAAGAACTTTCCATGATTTTGGCAATGGATATTCGTGTATTTGGGTTTGGGTCAAGCATTTTTGACACCAGCCTACGTACTTCAGGGGAGAACCAATTAGGGAATTTGAAATCTGCCTTACCAATCTTCCTATACATTTCCATCAGATTTGAATCATGGAATGGAAGATAACCAGCCAGTAGAACATACAAGATGACCCCACAGGACCATATATCGGCTTTCGATCCATCATACCCTTTTCTGTTGATCACTTCAGGAGCAACATAGGCCGGTGTTCCACAGGTTGTGTGGAGCAACCCATCTTGACGCTTAGATTCAGCAAGGGCACTTAATCCAAAGTCTGAAACTTTTAGATTCCCATTCTCATCCAATAGTATGTTCTCTGGTTTCAAATCCCGGTGATAAACACCTCTACTGTGGCAGAAATCAACAGCACCAATCAGCTGTTGGAAATATTTCCTTGCAAGATCCTCCCTTAGCTTCCCTTTCGCTACCTTGTCAAAGAGTTCACCGCCTTTGACATATTCCATGACAAAGTAAATTTTGGTTTTGCTAGCCATGACTTCATAAAGCTGCATGATATTTGGGTGTCGAACCATCCTCATTACAGAAATCTCTCGCTTGATCTGCTCAAACATCCCAACCTTCAAAACCTTCTCTTTGTCAATCATCTTAATAGCCACACTCATGCCAGTTTCAAGGTTCCTCGCATGGTGAACCTTGCCAAACGTTCCTTGGCCCAACAATTTCCCTATTTCATACCGGTGCATCAACACGCTCCCTTTATTTTCCATCTGAAGTCACAAAAACTATTCAGACTAATCTAATACACAATTAGTATGCTATTTTCTCGAGCTAAACCAATATATGCAATATAGCTATCTACCATGAAGGAATCCATTTAAAGATTATACAAGTTCAACCATCCTCACAAAGGTTGTGATATGACAGGAGTTGTGCCCTAAAATATTTATCCCCAGTAGGCGTCTGAGAAGCTATATGTCCAATCTCATCAAGAACAAATAAGGGTAGCTCAAATGGAGCTTCCTCATCAAACTCTGCGAAAAAGATCTTAGCTCTCAAGCACATCTTACAGCATTCCCTGGCTTTGTAATAAACCACAGAATACCGGAGAAGATGGTTGAGTTTCAAAATTGTATCTTTACCGAAACAGTTGAAAATCGGGTCTCAAATTGGTTTAAAGCTTTGATTCTCCGATGTTCACCTGAAAAAAAATGAAAGCTTTGCTTAACTTTGGAAAAGAAAAGAACCATAGGATGTATCACTTATTTTATAAAACACAAATTTTAGATAATTCAGAATAGGGCTTCCCAAAAAAGCTAAAGAATCAGCATTAAAGATGGTTGAGTTTCAAAATTGTATCTTTACCGAAACAGTTGAAAATCGGGTCTCAAATTGGTTTAAAGCTTTGATTCTCCGATGTTCACCTGAAAAAAAATGAAAGCTTTGCTTAACTTTGGAAAAGAAAAGAACCATAGGATGTATCACTTATTTTTATAAAACACAAATTTTAGATAATTCAGAATAGGGCTTCCCAAAAAAGCTAAAGAATCAGCATTAAAAAAAAAAAAAAATGGAACTTCAATTATAGAGTAAACTACTTTTTGAAAAATAATGACAGACACTTGGCAAACTAGAAAAAAGGAAAAAAATAAAAATAAAAAGGAAATCAAACGAACAGAAATATCTGTTTGGTTGCCGAGAAAGATGAGGAATTTGGTTTCCAACCAGAGAAACTCAGACTCCACCAAATTAAGCAACTCAGTTTTGCCGAGTTGTTCGAGGTTTTCATTTCCGTTAATCTCAACCATCAAAGAGCAGGAAAAAAAAAAAAGACCCAAGATTTAGAAATGCTAATTTTCGTTTCTTTTTCCTACCTTTTCTCGACAATCAAACACACACATAGACCTAAAATCAAAACTCAAAACTCAATATAAAGACAGCGAATTTAGGCAGAAAACATGACTGAATGTGTAAAGGAATGCAAATCGAAATACTGTAGACAGGAATCAAATTGAGTTTCTGAATTACCTTTGAAACGAGGGACTCAAATTCAACTCTAAAATTTGTGATTAATAGAGAAGAAGCTAATGAAATAGAGAATGTGCTATCATGGTGACATATATAGACAGCAACTCCAAATTTATACAGGCTGGCTATTGAATAATCATCATTATTACCTTACTTTTTGATATTTTCAAGTGGCTGGATTTGCAAAAATATCCCTACTTTGCCTGTGTTTGGCAAGTGGGTTTGCAGGCTTTTTTTTGATTATTTTAGCCACAAAAAATAAAATAGGCTATTTTAGCCATAACAAACAAAACATCACATCCAATCCATAATCATTACATTCTTCTCTCACAAAAAAACTCAAAAAAGCCAAAAAGTATAACTTTTTAAAAGCCAAAAGCCATAAGTTGGCTTAAAAAAGCTGCACCAAACACCCCCAATAGACAGCAACTCCAAATTTATACAGGCTGGCTATTGAATAATCATCATTATTACCTTACTTTTTGATATTTTCAAGTGGCTGGATTTGCAAAAATATCCCTACTTTGTTTGTTATATTATACTCAAGAAATGTTATGTAAAATGTTTAATTTTCTTTATTGGCACCACAAATATAATAAATTTTTTTAATTTTTTTTTTCCCTTCCTTCTTCTGATGGATTGGATTATTCAGTCCAAAAATTGTGAGAGAGATTATAGGATTTACAGTGGAGTCCAGTTTGTGAGACTTATAATCGCACAGTATTTAAATTAAACAATGTAATAAATTATAGAGAACTCAATTTAATTTAGTATCGCTATTCATTATTACCTACATGATCCTCCATTCCAAAATTTTCGTAAAGCCTAAGTTTTATGTATAGGTTATGGACTCCATATAATGGGTTTCCAAGCTTAGATTCAATGCTATCAATTTTTAATAATCCATTGCCTACAAAATTTAATATCTTGTGATTCATGTAATAGTTTTAAAAATAGAAAATGTTATGGATCCCAAATAATTTATCAAATTTTCTACCAAAACGCAAACCCACATGTGTGTGGATCTCACACCTCATGTGAGAGATTTGGTAAAAAAATTTATAAATCATTTAGAATCTCTAGCATAACCTTTTAAAAATTTAGTCTTGTTAGCATGTGCCTTAAGCAATAAACAATAATTTAACTTTCTCCAGGTGCATTAAAAATATAAATATAGAAGTGAAGTTAATTATGATGTTATTAAAGAGTTAAATTTTTTTCATATGTACATAAATACACCTGTTTTCATAAGTCTATTTTTTTAATTAATATTGCATATGATAAAAAATTGCATATGATAAAAAAATAATTAGAAAAAAAACTATACTATACTATATATATATTAACGGTTCTAATATAGTGACAACTCCACCAACAATTATGAAAGTATTGTTGGAAAAATTTTAGTTCAAAAATATTTTTATTTGATTTAATTTTTAGAATTTGTATTTAGAATTTATTTTTAAAAAAATTATAAATTAGTTTGACAAAATTAAAAATAAATATATATTTGAATTTTAAAATATTAATTTATGTTCCAAAAAACTCATATGAAAATAATTTATGTTTGATTTTATTTTTTAAAAGTCACCAAACTAAATATTAATTTTAATTTTAATATTTTTTTGAAAAATATATTCAAAAAAGCTCAATCAATATATATGTATATATGGAGTTTGATAAAATACACTTGAAGTATAAGTTAGTACTACTAATGAGGAGCACATCCAAATTGAAATAATATAAAACATATTTGAAGGAAAAATGATATTTTGACCTTATTATTCTGAAAATTATTTCTATATAAAACAAAAACAAAAATAAAAACAAAAAAAGAAAAACAACAAGGGTGTTTTGGTCTTATTAAAAAAATAATTATTTAATTTAGATATCATTTAAGTTTTTACAACTTCCTATAGTAGTGGGAGTAGTTATACTTATTTAATATTTCTTTAATATATACCTTTGGGCATATGTTAATAAAAATTTTAAAATTTTCAATTCAATCTTTCGTTAAAAAAAATATTGACAAACTAATTGAATTAGTTCAATTGGCCAACTTGTATACTTCAATGTGCTAAGGCAGGATAAATATTTAAAAAATTATATCAACTTATGAAAAATGAATAACATATCTAAATTAGAATAATTGCTATTTTTTTTTTAAATTATAATTTTTGAATGGTCTAATTGACATTGTAAATTACCCCTACAACAAGGTCAATTGTGCATGTGCTGTGGTTTACTTTTATTTTTATTTGAACATTAGAGTGCTCTTTATTTTGAAGTAATTCAATTTTTTATTTTTCAATATTCACACTGTTGAAGGGAAGTACAACTACCAAAAGCTGGCGGTCTTTCCTTGTAGCAGCATCCAGTAGGGAAGTGACACGTAGGGATATACAATCACGTGGGTCCAAACATCAAACGACAAGCGTCAACTCCGTAAGTAGAGATATAAATTTCTAACAACAATGATTCATCTCACTAAAAATATCACCACTAATAGCATTAATGTATTAAAAAAGTTAAAAAAAAAAAAAATACAACTCCAAAATCAAAATATCACATCATTAATGACAGGACCCACTGCCACCTAATTAGTAGGAACACTAATTAGTGCTCCTAAGCATTTTTCAATTTCTAAATATATAACCATACACGTGCCCTCGTACGAGTTGCTGACGTTGCCACGCAATCGGACACGTCTCCCTTTTACACTGTAGTAATTAATGAGGAAAAATCCTTTGATCCTAACCTACATATGTGTAGGTTCCAACTTCATAGGAGAGATTTGATAAAAAATTTAATAAATTATTTAAGATTCGTAATATAACCTATTAATAAGGGTTTTTAATTTTTAATACTCCCTCCGTTTTAAAATAATGATCTCTTTTGGAGAATTTAATTTTTTTTGACAGTATAATTATTATATTTTCCAAATATTAATTTTTTAAAATTATCCTTTGATAATATATTTTTTTAGAAATATTAATTGTCATAATTGTACTTTTTGTATTATTAATGAATTTAAAAGAAAGGTAAAATAGTAAATTCATATTATTTTATTTCTTAATAAGAGACTAACATTTTGGGACAATGAAAAATGGAATAAGGGATTAATATTTGGGAACGAAGGGAGTAATAAAGAAAATCAATAAAACATTCCTCTCCAAGTTTGTGTAGTGTAATAGGAGCGGTCCAAAATGTTTATTTTTATTAGCTAAGATCCTCTCGATAAAATACCTTTGTGATTATATTAGAGAAATTTTGAATTTTTTTTTTTTGCGTCAAGATCGAAATGGTTTTGGCGCGTAGTAGTAATTGTTGCATGATATCGATTTTGCATCTTGGATATCAAAACGACGTCGTTTTGGTGCGTAGTACTAACTGCTGCACATTCTATGTATCAGTATCCCCAAACCCGTGTAGTAGGAGATGTCCAAGATGTTTCTTTTTGTTAGCTAAGGTCCCTCGATAAAATTTCTCTATGATTACACTAAAGAAATTTCAAAATTTCTCTGTATCGAGGCCAAAATAGTATTGGCATGCAGCAATATCCCCAAACCCGTGTAATAGAAGAGGTTCAAGATGTTTTCTTTTTATTAACTAAGGTCCCTTAATAAAAATTTTCTATAATTATACTAGAGAAATTTCAAAATTTCTGTGTCAAGGCCAAAATTTTTTTGACTCAAATTTTCTCTGTAAAAATGTTAAGAGACCTTAACTACTATAAAAATATTATATATTATTTACCATATAAAATTTTAATAAAAAAAATTCTTCCAAATAATATACAAACAAATATTATTCTTAAATTATAATAAATGTGATTACCAATTGTCTTTTTTTTTTTTTTTTTAATGCAAATTCTTAAAAGAATATAAAAGGCAAAAATATATTTTTTAATTTTTTTGGCTTCAGAAACACATCTTCTTTTAGAGAAATTATTCAATATTCTCGAAATACTATGTGTTTATACTCACTAACTAATCATCATTCAATATGCTCATTGTATTTTTCAATCACCCAATATAATATCTCACCTACCTACCTTTTCTACCAATTATAATATTATAAAATATTACATGTCTATACTCCAAAACTACTGAATAATTACCCCTCCTTTTGAGTGTTTTTACAAAGTTATTTTAGCTGCAGAAACACATCTCCTTTTGACATTTTTAATCCTTACTGTTGGCGACATATCTTCTCAACTACTAAAGTTTTTCCTAGTCTTCAATATTCTTAAGAAAGAAAATTAATTTTTTTAGGTTCTCACAACTAATTGGTCCCGAGTAGAGAGACTCAAAAGTATATATTAACTAAAACTAAGTTTAGGTGGTTTAGAAAATATAAACAAGTTTAACAATTACATTGAAAAGAAAGAAGGGAACTAAATATGTGATCCCCCAAGATCATCTCTAATAGTTATTCAAAATTGTCATCAAATTTAAATTTGATGAAAAATTGTTTATTTTCTTATTACAACAATTTCATTAAATACGTATTAAATTTAGGATTTCATTTTTCTTTTATCAAATTGAGGATTAGCATGCCTTTCATCAAATCATTGTTCATTGCATTTAGATTTTACCACCATATAACCACCTTAAGACAAAAATTTGTGAAAAAATTACACTGGCTGGTGGTCCTCCCGGTCGTCCACCCGGTAGATCGGTAGTTTGATAAAACTACAAAACCCTCCGTTTGGAACACTTGATATCAAAGGAAGTTTTTACTCAAATTTGATGAAAAAATTGATGCACCGTTAGAGATGCCCTAATGAAACAATAACTAAAAAAATTTGATCACTAGACTACCTGGAATGCCAATTTGTTTTTTGGAAGTGTTTTGTATCCACGTTAACGTGTTAAAAATGAGGAAATTTCTAGGAAAGTCACATTATGGACATCAAATTTGTCATTCTTTGTTTGCCTCATTATCACCCATTCTTACACGTGAGAATATATGATAGTTTTGGAATAACACCATAATAAGATGCTAGTATCGGTACGATGGCATGGCACACTGGTCATGAGCACAAGAACAAAAGAAAACTTGTAGATTACTAATACTAGTATTAAACAACTATATTACTATAATAACATTCACAATGTAGTAAGTTACCTCCATATCCACTCCATGGAAGAACAATTTGTAAACCTCATGTAATTCTCTAGTCCCAAAGGGTTGTTTTTTAAATAACCAACTTCTAATTTTTAATCCAAATTTGAGCCCCTATTCTCACCAACCTATCAACACTTTGGATTTTTAGGTGTTATGTAATATATGCTAGGGAATATGTGTATCAGTTTCGTTAGGATTTGCCTTGATCTTCAAAATTTCGCACACAAGCTTAAAATTTAATGACATGGTCTCTCTGTCTCTCTATAGGACTGGCCAAAAGCAACTCACCACGTTATGGAGAAACATTTGTACTTAGGCACACAAAGTGATGGCTATAAGTTCTTTGATATCTGTGATTGTGACTGTCTATATACTTCAAATATTGAAAACTCTTCTAAAAGGAAAAAGAAAAAAATCCCCTGCTAATTCTTCAAGAACGATTTTAAGCAGGAGGAAATCCAGTATTTGGAAATGGGACTACTTAATGCTCTTCCGCGTGATTGAACATGTGGACTGTACGAGTGTCCCTTGAGGGTTAACACATGTACATCAATATACTGATGTGTGTAAGGCACGTATCATTCTATACGTACATGACATAGTGACTATGCAAGAATCGTTATATGCAAGTCTTGTCAGAGCCTAGGGAAAATATGAATGGGGTTTGAGCTGTGGCAATCACAAATAAAAAGGTTGACACGATTGAGAATCAACACAAGCAAGTTTTCAATCTGTAATAATAATCAATTAATTAGGTGTCGTACAGAAACCACAAGAGAATAGTAAATACCATTTTATTTTATTTTTTTGTCTGTTTACGATATGAAATTTTCAATCGAGTCTATTTTCCTGCAATTTTTACAAAACAGAAAGCAAAGATTTTTTCTCTATGGGTAATGCGTGATGGCTGTCAGCAGAAGGCGAATCACAGGCATGGATTGCAGTGCACATGTCTGTTGTTTCAAGATACTGCTCTGCATTGGCAAAGATCAACGGTCCGTATTCAAAAACCATGGTTTTACACTGCCCAAAGAATTGAAATAATCCATAGTAAGTAAGAGAGAGAAGGAAAGAAAAATAACATAAAAAGCATAACCGGAATCACAAAATGGATTGTTCATCTTTCTACACAAATATTAAGGTCCCAATATGCAAAGCCATGGACGAGTAAGTGGATGAGTAAGTTCCTAAAATGTTCTTACCTTTTTCACATGGCTCTCCACAGCAGTACATGCCTTCAGAAGCATCTCAATTATATTTAACTGGAATAAAAGCCAAAAAGAAAAAAATGACTTAAGGCCTAGTTTGGGAAGACTAAATAAGTGCACTTTTTGACTTTTTATGAAATATGAGTTGGGTTTGGGTTGGGTTTGAAGTGATGTGTTAGAGAGGTGATGTGACTTAAATAGGATAGTGACTTTTTGACTTTTTGTCTTTTTTCAGTCATGCCAAACTTGGCAGTTTCTTGGGACTAAAATATCCATGAACAACATTGTGACATAATCACAAAATATTAATGCTTCAAGCCACATAATATATAAATTTTCAGGTTTTCAAATAATTGAGGGCAGATAACTTTCTTTTTCTTTCGTTTTGCTTTTGGAGGAAAATTGCTGTAAATTCTAAGATACAATTTATAGCTGTGTTCTTGGTGATCAGCCGATGATGCAAAGTTCATACCTGTGTTTCGGGATCTTTCAACTTTAATAGAACTTCTGCAACAGCTTGATGGCAAATTTCACACTTACCCTTGGATAGTGGCAGAGAAACGATTACCCTTTGTGAACAGAGATTGACACTTTCGCAGAAATCTCCAGGTTGCACCAATCCAATCTCTAAGAAAAATAGGGGAGCATAATAGTCCACCAAACTAATGCACTGCCAGAAAGGATTACAGATGCAAGTCATACACAATGTTTATAATGTCTATAATGTTTCCTACTAACTCTCATCATTTAATATAGCAATACACACTGTAATAGGAAAGACATGCATATTCTCCTTTATTCAACTATTACCATCTATGCACCCATATGTGAAGGACATGGGCTGTTCAAATGAAGGAAGCTTGCTCATTTGTACACCATGAAAAAGGTAACAAAATCCTAGAGTTACCTGGAACGCAGATTGTTTCGGTATGAGGAACAAAAACTGGAATGCTGTATGCCACGTACTCTAAAATGTGGTGCGATAAGGGTTGGCGGCTTCTAAAACTCGATTCTCCTTACATTTAAGTTCATTTATACTAGATTTATTTTCATCATACTGAAACTTTCAGAAAATAGAGAGACAATTTGGCATGCTTTGGATTGTTTACTGTCTTGGAACGTGTTTCTAAAACGTAGATCACTAGGGTATTAAGCAAACAGACTGTTTGAAGACTAGCACTTTCTGGTTAGGAAAACCAACCAAATAGTGATGCTGAAATCATGTGTTGCAGATGTTTTTGATGGGCTATATCCTGAGGAACAAGCAATGCCTAGTAACTACCTACAACGGGCACTCATTAATCCTACAATTGTTAACAAGTTAGACATGACAAGCTTGTCACTGTCAGTGCCTTCAGATGAGGAATAAGGTGAACAAACAAGTTTATTTAAGTCCAAGAGCACTGCTGGAGAGCTCTAATCCAGCAGCTCTAATGCCAGCTCTAATGAGCTGGCATGGAGGAAATAAAAAAAAAGAAAAAGAAAACAAGACACAGTCCATCACTGGACCCCACTGCCAACACACTAGTGATGGATTTAGAGCTCATTTTTTAGAGCTCTAAATCATTTTTGTTAAGTCCAATTGCAACTGTGCAGTTTCAACAATCAGAACCAACTCTGCTAAAACTCAGTGACTACCTGTTCCTCGAAAGTGAGCAACCGAGAGCAGGTGTTGTGAAGGATGTCGATTATCTCCGTCTGAGTCTTGTTTTCCTTAAGGTACTCCAGCTCCTCAGTAACAAACTCTTCACACATTGTGCACACATTTCCAATTCTGACAACTTCTTCTGAGGCTTTTACTTCCCCTTCTGACTCCTGGTGATTTATCTGCAAAACTGAGTCACAAAACTCTGATTAATCTGGATCTACTTCGAGAATCACAAACATCTTCACTTCACCATCCTAGAGAAATTGAACTTTCTGTCCAAAGCATCTTTAGTGAGAAACCATTTTCAAATCATAATCGCATTACTGAACACGTATGGACATTATTGATAGGCATACAAGCTAGGTTTTGGCTGCCCCCACCAAAGAAGCCATTTGAATGCATTAACATATATGCAACTTGAAATTCACTACAAATAATACAATTTAGATAATTTTGAAAAACATATCAGATTTTCCATTTTTGGCAGCCTCATAAACTAGGTCTGAATTTAAACCAAATATATTAGGCAAGTGCATGTGCTGAGAAAATTACCATCTTGCAATGATAATAAAAAATAAAAAAAATTGAAAGAATTACCGGAAACATCAGATGCTGTGGTTTCTTTACTAGAAAGACCAGTGATAATTAATTTTCTGGCATCACAGGACAAGCTAGCACCCAAAACAAAAAGAACTAAGAGCCCAACTGTCACACCCATGGTGCCTGAGGTGAAAGCAATTGAATTTAAACCAAAAAAATAAAAAAAAATAATAACAATAACAATAATAATAAGTAAAAAAAATCTATATAAAGAGAATAGACTATCTAATCACCAACACAAGTAACTAATTTCGGAAAAAATAGCTGAAAATCATGAAGTCTCATAATTCAGCATAAATTAGACAAGCAATTAATGAAGAAAACACAGAAATCATCATAGAGATATTTCTAATGGTAGGACCAAGTCCTAGATGCGTAAAATATCAAGAAGCGAGTGAAAGGCAGAGAGTAACTTCCCTATTTATCTCAGTTTAAACTCATTATCTGCACAGAATTGATGAATCACATATGCATATTGAATTCTACTATCTAAATGGCACAATCAGAAAAAGGATTGCAAGAGCAGAGTACCACCAAAGTTACATTTGCACCAGCAACACATGAACATCACATACAGTAATGTACTAGCCTGCAAAATTAACTGAAAGTTACACAAAAACACAAGCTCATTCATGCAAGATTTCTGCCAAACTAGTTGATTCCACTTGTAGAGCTTTTAATACCTCATCAAAATATGCTTTCTCAGTATTTAACCCTTTTTAGCTCTATTTAGGGAAGTCTCTTAGAGGGTTACTTCTACTTATTCTCAAGCACAAAGGTGCTTGGGAAAGTAAAAATTTGGCTTAAACATTAAGCAGACATCCAGCTACTTGGGAATCACCTCTGAAAGTGATTCTCAGCTTAGTGCTTAAGTGGGGCTCATTCTACAAATAATGAACTATCTCATCTCCAAATTTGCCCTTGAATTAAAATGACAATTCCATGCATGTCTGTTTTCCAAGCACGCCCACAATTAATTATTTATTTTATTACCTTCAAATAGTTTACCCACCCAAATGGGGTGTTGTAATACAACTCATAATGATTAACATTATTGGTGCAGAAGATAAATAAAGATGCTTCATCTAGGATAAAAGGATTAAGAATTGAGGATTTAAGACAACTACTAGACAGACTCCATTTATGATGATGCTAACAAAGAGGTTCATATTTGTTGTGATCACTTGGCATACAATCCTAATGTTATGTTTCGTACTAAAGTGAAGGATATAGAAAGTAAAGGCAAAAAATCAACATATTTAAATTGTTTCTAAGAAGGAAAGAAAAAGGGTATGGAAGGGATGTGATGCGAGAGAGGATTTACAGTGGAGCACTTTTCTTCCCCTACAAAATTGGGAGAAAGAGGAGAAGTGAGTGAAGTGCTTGCTACTTATTGTTTAATACTAAGAACACCCCGTGTTTGCGAAAAGTATCTATTCAGTTTCTGCATCCCCTATCTTTATAATTACTGTCTAACCAAAAGTTGGACAATTTATCTCAAAAAATTAAAATCATTTTCAGTCATATAGCATTTAACTAACTTCCCATGAACCCATATTAAGATCACAACTTTGTGACAATTAAACCAATGGGTCTGTCAAATTCAGACCAGAAGCAAGCCAAAACCTTCCCAAATCCCAAACAAGCAACGCCATAATATGAATTTGATGAATAGTTCCATTGCATACCACATACACAGATACATATAAGCGCACACATATACATGAAGAAACAATAAAAATACAAAAGGAAGTAGAGAGACTACACAAGAAAGAAACCCTACAACACAAATCCAAAACCATGAAATGCAAGAAAGTACCTTTCGCAGAAGTTTTAGGATATGCCATATGTGTCTATGTCTAGACGGTTTCAGAAGGGAAGAAGATGGGTAGGCATCGATTCTTCCTTCCTTCCTTCCTTCCTACTAGCAAGTAATGGGTTTTGGGGGAAAAAGTGTTGAATGGTTGCTGGGTCCTTTTGGAAAGTTAGGAATTTGAAAGTGCACCCACATGAGTTTTCCTACTATGCACAATACCTCCACCATAACCCCTTGTACTATGTCCACTCATTGGAATGCATTTTTGGATCTCAATGATGGTCTCTTTTGTTTTTTTTATTCAAAAGAAGTAGAACAAAGCAGGAAAGAAACAACAAGATAAAACTAGGGACACTAAGGCCTTACACAAGATGCACCCACCATGTCTGCTATCAACAGACTTACAATGGCAATTGGAAGGTCATCAAGCACAACTAGGTTGTCTTGGTAGTTAGCTCCTAAATTTGCTAGTCTATCTGCACATTTGTTTGCCTCTCTAGGTGTGTAACTGATGGAGCAATTGTAACTGATGTATCTCAATGATGGTTTCACAGCTTAAAATTGGTCATAAAAACTTTGAATAAAATAATTGAGGAAAGGAGTTATAGAAGATATATATCACTTATTTTTTCATTATCAATTAAAAAACTTGGTAATACATTATTGATTTTCTTTAATTTTTTAATAATTAAATAAGAAAGTTAATCATAATTATTTATATAACAATAATACAAAATGGAAATAAAAAAATAACCATATATAGCATTTTTCTCTAAAGAATTAAAAATGTTACTTGAAAAGCATGTGACAAATAAAATGTTACTTTACCTTTTTCCTGTTAAGATGTGAAGATTTTGAGAACTTACCCATCAAATTAACAAAAATGAGAAAAGCAATATATATTCTTTTTAATTTATAGATTGAAAAAAATAATGAATTATTTTAATTTTTAGCAAGGTCAAATTTATGTCCAATAAAGACCATGAACAAATTTATTTTTATTTTTTTCAAAAATAATAATTCAAACTAAAAAAAAAAGGAAAGAAAAGAAGAAGAAGATAAAAAGGTATCATTTAGTTTAGTAGATAACTGCTCTTATTAAATGTTACTACTATATTATTTAGAATAAATTTGCTGTATAAAAATTTCATTCGAATTATTGCAAATCATTAAAATTTTCCATTTCATTTCAAAACAGCACATCATTAAAATTCAAAATGATCAGTCCAGTGATATTTTCATGATGGCGCCTACCCTGTTTGAAGCATGCACAAGAACATTCCATGCTTAGATACAGAGATGGATCCAGAATTATCACTACGGAAATGCAAAATTATGTTTGGTGTGCAAATCCTTATAGTTTTAAATTATTTTAAATTTTCTAATATAATATATGATATTTTTCAAATTTTTTGAAGTGCGGTCGCCCCATTCCACGCCCCTATCCATCCTTGCCTAGTATCAATGAAGATTAGAAATGCCTTGTTGTGAAAACATCACAATCATCATTTGAACAACCCAGAATTTGATAAATAACCGCAATACTACCAACAAACAATGGGTCTGGGGTACATTAACATTAGTCACCTAAGAAGACATAAACCTTAAACCAGGACACACTAAAGATGATTAGGGCATAAAACAACTAACGAAGACATAAACCTACCCACTGCGACACATTGAATTACGTTTGCTTCTTCTTTTTCTTACTTTGCTTTCGCATGAGGACCGTGAATCGAGCAAACCCAAACTTCTTTCTCTTTGCAGGCAATTGCTTGGGCCCACTTTCCCTCTCAGCCTTCCGTGTAGAAGGCGCATCACCATCACTTCTACTAAGCATTTGACCGAGTGACATCTTTCGTTTAACAGCACCTTTTTCCGCCCCATTCTCAAATTCTTCTGTCAAAAGCAACTTCCTGCTCAGTATTTGTCCTATAGACAGTGTCGGCCTCAAAACCGGCTTTGACTCATCATTCTCGAGATTCATTCCATTTACGTCAAGCAGACGAGAGTTTCTCCGGTGGTGAGAAGAGGGGTGAGAATTCTTGAACTTGGTCGAGTTCTGTACAGTCCGTCTTCTTTGAACATGTTCAGATCTCCATTTCCGCAGAGCTTCTTCGACTGCTAACTTCGCTTTAGTTGCAGCCTCTACTCTGTTTAAAGTGTCTTCCAAGACCCTCTTACTGTTTTTGACTTCTTCTGTGGCTTCTTCTACCTTCTTCAAAATCTCCACTTTTGATACATTTGCTTCATTAACTAGAACCATAGCATCCATCACTTTCCTCTTAGAAGCTTCCTCTGCATCTCGAGCTTTTGAGGTTAGAGATGTATATTCATCGAATGAAAGAGTAACCCCTTTGGGCTTCTTCTGGGAACCTTCATTGGAGAGATTGCTGCTTGATAGGGCCTTGATCTCTGCAAGAGCAACAGCTTCTGTGGCTCTAGCAGCTTCCTTCATTTTCTTGGCTGCAACCAATCTGATATCAGACGTTTTAATCCTAGTTTTAGTATGTTCAATCTCCGCCATTGCTTTGAAAACTTCTGATTTTGCAGCTTCTCCCATTTTCTTGTACTGCTCTGCCTCGGAACTCAATCGTTGAAGCTCTCTTGATATATCAATGGGATTATCTGAATCACCTTTAACTTCAGCAGATTGGGCCAGTTGTAACTTCAGTCTTGTTTTGCTTAGCTCTTCCTCAAGTGATGAAATTTTTGAGGAATTTAAAGATAACCTCTCGTGAGTCTTTTCAAGTGAGCGTCTTTCCTTTTCTATTTTCTTGTTGAATGACTCAACAGTAGCTCGAATGTCAGCAAGATCAGTTGTAGTTCTTGTAAGGTTCAACTTGGCTTGTTTCAATTCCATTAAGATGAACCCTGGAGCTGAAGAGGGGCAGAGGCTGAAAGCACTAGTAGAATCATGATTACCACCCTCAAGGTTTCCACAGTTTTCCTTTCCTGGTACTTCCACAGCAGGATTTACATTCATAATATCATCTAAATTTGCATTCGAGGCTGCATCGACTTCAGATGCCTCTTTTTGTAGCTTTAGTTTAAGTTCTTCTACAATCATTTTAGTTGTTTCCAGTTCTTTCAAGACATCAAGTGTTTCCCTTTCTTTTGCGATCAGATCTTTCTCCAACTGCGCAGCCTGTTCCTCCACTTTGGTGATGTCAACAGCTTCAATATCATGCTGCAGTTGATGGAAACAAATCAAATAGTGTAAAAAATAAATAAATAACTCAAAGAAAATCTATCCAGCCTTGTATTTGTATTTAGCTGGTCTTTTATGTGATTACATGTACATGGGTTTCCTACCTGAACAGAAATCACAAACAGATTTTCTTCGAGGCTCGTCTTTTGCTTCTAGATTGAGGTGGAAGAAACAAAATACTGATGGCATGGGGTTGAGATTAAAAAATCACGCAGCAAATTTGAGGGTGACCCAATCTAGAAACAAATTTATGTTTAATGTTCATTATAACTAGAAGCAGACAAATTTGAGGGTCACTTCATTATAACTAAAGACGATCCTTCACCCAATTAGACAATATTTTCATTTTAGTTCTTTCCATTTCATCTGAAAGCAAAATCATGAAAAAAATCTTGCCATTGAATTAAGATGGCCAGTACTGAGATTGTAAGATAGTAAAGCTCTAACATTGATGACTTTCCAAAATGGTCCAAACAGCTACTTTCTAGATGTGAATCAACAAATAAGAACTCTTGATTACTATTTGCATCTCAGACTTATGCTGTTTTTTCCTAGGTTATTTATAGAACAAATAAGAACTAATAGAGTAATATAATTTTATGCACAGATATTAAATGAAACAAACACGCTATTGTGCACCAAGACAATCAAACCATAATACAAAAACAAAAACAAATGGAAAAATGGTCCAGAAAAGGAATCAGCTTTAAAATGAATGCAATGCAGCTCCAGAGTAGCAGCTACACCATTGTGGGCCTCCGAAGAATTAAACTCCTCATTAATTGGTTGGTATCCCACACGTACTGATAGCTGTTATGAGGATCATGCTGGATTTATTATTGTTATTATTTTTGATCTCTACAACTTGAAAATTATAATCAAACAGCCAAACTCAGAAATATGGCTCTGCTAGGGAAAATCCTAGGTACTGCTGCATGGTAAAATATAGTAAATATGCTGATGTCTTGGATATTTTGGTTTTGATTGTTTCCATATTCAGCCAATAAATGGAAGCCTAATATGAGATTTATGGAGATTCCTGCACTTCTCTTAACTGCAACTTGCAACTATGAATGGAAAGAAAAAAAAAAAGAAAAAAAAGAAACAAAACCAGAACCAGATGCTGTTGCAAATGAAAATGTGCTTCACAAACTAAAAATCACAAAATACTATGAACATAATAACCCTCAACCTCTACACTACATTTCAAAGCAAATTGGCATCATGGGTTAAAAAGTATAGCATTATGAAACATCTTTGAAGAACATCAAAAGTATACTACTAATAATAAGGTAGCTGAAATCAAAAGAGAGCCAGCTTGACAAAGGCAATGCTAGTACAGTATACTACTAATAAAAAATATCTGAAATCAAAGTTTTGTTTTCTGATAATAATAAAAATAAATAAAAAACCCCAAACAGGTAAAAATTCACACTTTCTTTAACAATGTACTTAAGAAATAACTAATAAAAAAAAGGTAAAAGATCTTAAAAAGCAAAAAAATCAGAATTTTTTTTTTTTTTTGCTTGAATAGAAATGTAGCTGAAACCCTGACATCAATTAAAAAAGATATCAAATTTACAAGTAAAAATGAATATGAAATTCATAATAAGAGAAGCTTTATACCATTAAAGCCACATTGTGTGAGAGAGAGAGAGAGAGAGAGAAGACCTGAGAAGCTTGGGTGGGCTTATGGGAATGGGGTCTCCAGAAACCGATTCCACCGAATCGACTAGCAGCTTCCTTAACCGACTCAAACGGCGCTGACGTGTCAATTTCAGCCCTAGAACTCTCCATCTTCTTCTGCCCCGAACACCCTGAGTCACTGCCTTCACTCGCAGTGAGTCCCATTCCGGCAATTTTAGCTTCTGGAGCATGTGAATCTGCTTCGTCTAGGGTTTCAGATGCTTCAGAAACCACTTGAATAGTAGTGTAATCTAAGGCCTGAGCAGCCATTGAAACGAAGCGACCTAACCAAGAAAAACAAAAGCCCTAGGATGACTGACAATGAATATGACGTTACTAATCCAAAGGAAAAGACTTTGTGGAGTACGCAATAGAGACAACAACAAATTAAAGAGCGAGAGAGAGAGAGAGAGAGAGAGAGAGCGAGCGAGCGAGTAAAGCTAATAACGTTCGATTTTCTGGAGAGTTGAGATTCTCTCCTCCGTGGACCGAGCTCACAGAATCCGCTGTTCTATTTTTCTATCTCTTCTGTATCTTATTATTATACGGTTTAATTATTATTAAATTATGGTACTTCAAAATTTTAAGTGTTTTAATATAATTTAATAATTACAAATATTTTCAAATAAAAAGAGATAAGAATTTCAAGGTACAATTTGTGTTAGAAAAATGCTACCTATAATTTTATTTGAGTCTAATTTGTCTCTAGTTAGAGATTAAGATGTGTTCATTTTTAGGTCTCATTTCAATAATCCAGTCACATTTCAAGATTCATAAAATATATTAGCCAAATAAAAAATTAAGTTGATTGAATAATGACAACCATATATTTGAATTAGTTTGATATGAATTGTTTATTTTTTAACCGTCCATTGATTTTATACAAAAATGATTCGAAAATTGATTTTCATTATCTAATCGACTTGATTTTTTACATGAATAATATATTTGACAAATTCTAAAATGTGAACAGTTCAAATTATCGAAACGGGACTCAAAAGTGGGCCCATGGTGCATACTGGTCGAATTCAATCTTGATTTCCAATTAAAAACCAGCTAGACACATTTTATTTCTTACCTATTTTTTTAGTAAAAATTGAATTTTATATACATTCATAAATGTGGATTCTACTATTATTATTTTTTAGAGTGGAAAAATAAAATAAAAATGAAATTATGCACAGTATTTGTCTTTTAGACTATGGATCCAGCATTTTTTCCTTTTCTGAGCCTCTCATGTTTTTTAGGAGAGAGCGGAGAAGGGGGTAAACAATTTCAACTTCTTTCACTATGTTAGAAGTGTAGTTACCAGAACTACCAATTGATCAATATATATTAAAAAAACGACAAATAATGATTAAAGAGTAATATATATAAACCTTCTCCAACGGTGACCCCTCCTCTTCGTGACAAGAGAGGGGAGGCAGGTTGACTTGCCACGGGAGAGGGTTTGGGTTGGGACTGGGGCATCATTTGTGGGGAAGGGAGTCATGGCAACGACGGGAGGGCAAGGAGGGGGCAGCAATAGAGAGGAGTGATTAGAAGAGTTGGTCGGAATTGAAGTGTGGGTCAAGTTTGGCTAAATTAAAAAAGTGCACTTATTTTATCTTTTTATCTTTTTTGGGTCACATCAATCAACATCTCCTCTCTACTTTTTTTACACATAATACAAAAAAAGTCAAAAAGTGCACTTATTTAGTCTTTCCAAACTAGGCCTTAGCGGAATTTGACTTTGTTTTTGATTTTTTTAATAATTTTATTCAATAATTTTATATTATAATATAACGTATTATATAGTGAAAATTTTTATAATAATTATGAAATAAATGATAACTTAGTTAATGTGTGTTTTTTTTTAACAAAAAATACCACTTAGAAAATGCACAATATAATATTCCAAGAATATTTAGGCAAAGTTTGAGAAGATTAAATAAGTGCACTTTTTGACTTTTTTTGTATTATGTGTATAAAAAGTAGAGAGGAGATGTTGATTGATGTGACCCAAAAAAGATAAAAAGATGAAATAAGTGTACTTTTTAGGTTAGCCAAACTTGGCCTTAATATATTTTCATAGAAAGTGGTCCTATTTGAAACAGTGACACCAGACTATAACTCTCTTGATTGCAAGGTGGTTCTATCTAGAGCAATATTATAGACCACTAATTTATCATTACTAATACCACCACTAGTGAGGTGGCAATTGAAAAAAAAAAAGAAAAAAAAAAAACAAGGCACAAAACACATGTGGCAGTGAGTGAGATCCACTGCCATATCATTAGAGCTACCACTAATTAGTGATCTAAAGCATTTTTGTTCTATCTATGTGGTAACAGTGGAAGGCCTCAAAGCCATAACTCTCTTGGTTGCTTTTAATTATGTCTTGCTAGCTTTTCTTCCTCTTTTTTTCCTTTTTTTTCATCCAAGGTGACCGTTGCCCAAACGTCCTGGCGAGGCAAAAGAAGCACAGATTATTAAGTTCCGTTGCAAGAATTTAAAAGCCTATACTTTCACTTCAATTCAAATAGATTCATGTTATACTTGTATAGACTAGATGCCAAACAAAGGGGAAAAAAGCAAACACCCCTTTTAAGATTCAATTACCAGAATCTTCTTGAATTTTCTTTTGTAGGTGTTCTTTTGTACAGCTTGGAAAGAAAAAGATACACAAATCACTACAAAAAAATTGACTTTTTGCGACGATAAAATACCGTCGCTAATACTCCTAATGCCATCGCAAAAATTTTTTGCGACGGCAAAATAACTTTTTTGCGACGGCAAGAGGGGGTCGCAAATGGAGGGGTCGCAAAAGAGTTTTTGCGACAGCACAGTGCCGTCGCTAATGTTTTTGCGACGGCATTTTTGCCTTTTGCGACGGCACTGTGCAGTCGCTAATAGTGTTTGAAATTTCTTGACTTTTTGCGACGGCACTATTTTACCGTCGCTAAAAATATTATTTGAGACGGCAAAATATACCGTCGCTAATAGTCTTTTTTTTGCAACTGCAAAAACACTGTTTTTGCGACGGTGTGGTGCCGTCGCAAAAAGTATTAAAAATATGAAAATTTTTATTTTTTGCGACAGTGTAATACCGTCGCAAAAAGTATTAAAAAAATAATAAAATTTCTATTTTAAAGAATAAAATTTCTATTTTTTGCGACAGTTTAGTATCGTCGCAAAAAGTAAAACCTGTAACAAAATCAATAAAAATAATAAAATTTTTTGTTTTTTGCGACAGTGTAGTGTCGTCACAAAAAAGAAAAAAAAATCCTCCGATAAAATTATTAAAAATATTAAAATTTCTCCATAATAATATAAAAATCCCTATATAAAATAGGGGTTTTTTTTTTAAGGTCCCTGGTATTATGATTTTATAGCATAAAGGACATCAAATATTTTTATAATGTCTAAGGTCCCTCAACAATATTTTCATAATGTCTAAGGTCCCTCAACCTTGATCCAGAGAAATTTCAGTCCAGAGAAAATTGGTCCAGAGAAATTTCAGTCCAGAGAAAATTGGTCCAGAGAAATTTCAGTCCAGAGAAAATTGGTCCAGAGAAATTTCAGTCCAGAGAAAATTGGTCCAGAGAAATTTCAGTCCAGAGAAAATTGGTCCAGAGAAATTTCAGTCCAGAGAAAATTGGTCCAGAGAAATTTCAGTCCAGAGAAAATTGGTCCAGAGAAATTTCAGTCCAGAGAAAATTGGTCCAGAGAAATTTCAATCCAGAGAAAATTGGTGCAGAGAAATTTCAGTCCAGAGAAAATTGGTCCAGAGAAATTTCAATCCAGAGAAAATTGGTGCAGAGAAATTTCAGTCCAGAGAAAATTGGTCCAGAGAAATTTCAATCCAGAGAAAATTGGTGCAGAGAAATTTCAGTCCAGAGAAAATTGGTCCAGAGAAATTTCAATCCAGAGAAAATTGGTGCAGAGAAATTTCAGTCCAGAGAAAATTGGTCCAGAGAAATTTCAATCCAGAGAAAATTGGTGCAGAGAAATTTCAGTCCAGAGAAAATTGGTCCAGAGAAATTTCAGTCCAGAGAAAATTGGTCCAGAGAAATTTCAGTCCAGAGAAAATTGGTCCAGAGAAATTTCAGTCCAGAGAAAATTGGTCCAGAGAAATTTCAGTCCAGAGAAAATTGGTCCAGAGAAATTTCAGTCCAGAGAAAATTGGTCCAGAGAAATTTCAGTCCAGAGAAAATTGGTCCAGAGAAATTTCAGTCCAGAGAAAATTGGTCCAGAGAAATTTCAGTCCAGAGAAAATTGGTCCAGAGAAATTTCAGTCCAGAGAAAATTGGTCCAGAGAAATTTCAGTCCAGAGAAAATTGGTCCAGAGAAATTTCAGTCCAGAGAAAATTGGTCCAGAGAAATTTCAGTCCAGAGAAAATTGGTCCAGAGAAATTTCAGTCCAGAGAAAATTGGTCCAGAGAAATTTCAGTCCAGAGAAAATTGGTCCAGAGAAATTTCAGTCCAGAGAAAATTGGTCCAGAGAAATTTCAGTCCAGAGAAAATTGGTCCAGAGAAATTTCAGTCCAGAGAAAATTGGTCCAGAGAAATTTCAGTCCAGAGAAAATTGGTCCAGAGAAATTTCAGTCCAGAGAAAATTGGTCCAGAGAAATTTCAGTCCAGAGAAAATTGGTCCAGAGAAATTTCAGTCCAGAGAAAATTGGTCCAAACCTGTAACAAAATCAATAAAAATAATAAAATTTTTTGTTTTTTGCGACAGTGTAGTGCCGTCACAAAAAAGAAAAAAAAATCCTCCGATAAAATTATTAAAAATATTAAAATTTCTCCATAATAATATAAAAATTCCTGTATAAAATAACAATTTCTTCATAATAAAATATTCTTCCATTCATAATTACACATCAACCAAATTATCCCACTACATAATGTTCCATAATTATCCTCTGATAAAATTTACAAATATAAAAGAAATGAAAAAAATAAACACAATATAAATGAATATAAATTACTTTTTGGAAAGCCTAAAAAATTCCATAATTTCATAATGATAGTTTGTACACATCCTCATTCATCAAAACTCACGAAGAAATTGTCCATCTCTTGTATGGTTTTGCCAAGCATGTCTTCAAGGCTGCCAAAAATGGCAACTGATGATCCTTTGTTATCTAAAATCAAAATGCGTGTAGCATTCATTAGCCTTTTCTCTCTCATAGAACCAAGATTTGTGATCATCAAGAAGCAGATCAACATATTTCTTCAGCAAACACGATGTCAAATATGGATTGCACTGCAACGAAAACATAGCAATTAGATGAGAAATATTGTGAATTTGCAGAAAATCAAATAACAGTAAGATGGTGCAAAAGACTGCAGTTAAATAAATAAAAAAAACATAATAATAATAATAAAATGATATTTGTTAAATTTCACCATTTTTTTCACCTACATAAGATATTTGTCACCAGATAAATTTCACCATTTTTTTCACCTACGTGGATCTACACAACAAACACCATATGAACACGTACGACACACCCCAGA